TAAAGGAATAAATACGATGAACAAAACGACGAGAAACATTAATAAGAAATCAATAAAAATAACTTCATCCGCCAGTGATTAAAATGTAGTGCAGTCTTTGTACTTAGTGCCAGTTAGTCGAGCAATAAACTAACATTTACATTAATAAGAAAATAATTGCCTAATTATGGAATCTAAAAACATTATATGAATGTAAAATTTTTGTTTTGTTTCGATGTATACATTTTTATCTCGTTTGTGATATTAACATATTTCATATATATATTATATATATATATATTTTTTTTAAACTTTTATAGATTTTCTAAGGTTGACTAATCCATTAGATAAAAATTTATACATAGCCATTCCTTTATTATTACCCTTTACCAGTCATAAAATCCGAAATACTTTCGAGCGCAGCATCATCCTTCTTTTATATTTTCTGAAGTGGAAGTCAAATTTTCTTTTACTTCGTTTTCTTTACTAAAAATCTTGGACGACCTGGTTTAATCGGTTACTGATTTTCGCGAAAAAAGAAGAAAAAAAAGCGAACACTCGCATCAAAGAAAAGTTGTAATCTAATCTGCAAAAAGTTTCGAAAAGTAAAGTCGGATTGGATCAAAGCAAAGGATGAAGAAAGCTTTTACCCTAACTTCTTCACTGTGTGAGCTTACAGCTTATCGAATCGTGTTGGATGCGAGTTTTCTCGGTGAGATAAGATTCCCATGAATTCGTCGCGCGTACACTTGGCGAATCGGAAAAACTGGGTGTATCAAAATTTTTTATCAATCTTTTAGTTCTCCAGATTCTCCGAAAGAAATAAATAACGCTACCTTTTTTTCGAGACAGCAGTTAAACAATTAATTAAATATATATTTGTTTTATTTTATATCTTTTAAATTTTAATTATTGTAATATTTTCTATTATTATTTTCTTATATATTTTATATTTGTATAATATTACGAAATATATTTTAATATTGTAATTATATTTCCGTTGTACCTTTTATTCTTTTTTTTCGCGAAATATTACATCTTTTCGTTGGTATAATACCGTGATTTATTTGTTACTCTATATTCCCAATCACATCTTCTCGTTGGTTATATCGTGATTTTATTTGATACCCTATATTCCCAAACCGCCCCTGTCGACTATCCTTTAGTGATTTTTGCCACTTTCCGCGGCCGTATATTTTATTTCATATCCTTGCTTCGCAATCATAAGTTTCATCCGTCTCTGCTTCGTTTTCACGACCGACCGACTGATTTTCTATTCTATTGCCTGTGTATATATACATAAAGTATACATAGGCTCCGTTTCCTTTCCATCAAGAAAACGACGTCTCGCCGAGATCCATTCTTTGTAAATATATCCATATAGATACATCGTTTCATTACTTAATAATTTTGAGGTCTTTCCATCATATCAATAAAGGGAAAAAAAAAGAACACGCGATATTCTTTTACAGAGATTGTAAAAGACCCTTTACCCTTACAAAGTTTCAAAGTTATAATAATTATTATAAAAAAATATTAATAAAGACTGTAAAGAAGAAATCGATTTTTGTTAGATAAATGCAGAGTTAAAGACGATTTTTATTATCGGTTTTTTACGTTACATCTATTTTATAACATGTACATATATTAAAATGTTTTCATGGGGTTGTTAAACATTTATTTAACGTAACTGCATAGGACAGACGATAAATGATCTCGCCGTGGTAATCTTGCGAAGGATATTTCATCACCGTCGTCGCTATCGGCGCGACGGCCTTATTTCGCTCGAATTACGATCGACTATCCGTATGGCAGCGAAATACCGCGCATAACTAGGCAGCGGTTAAATGTACCTACCTATATTCTAAATCGAGCGTAATGCAGCTGCGAGTTTCGATTTAATGAAGATGAATATACTGCGCATTGTTTCAATGAAGCCGCAAATTTATGTATTTATTTAATAGTTTTGAAAACAGCATCTCTCTCTCTCTCTCTCTCTCTCTTAGCGATGCTTGTGAAATCATAATATTGAGAAAAGTAAAATTAAAATGGAGAAAATAAGATGAAATTAAGGTTAAGAAAGAAAATTGAACATTAAGATAGATTAGATTTAAATAATAATAAAATTGAAATAATTAATTTTTGAAATTGTTGTGATTCTGATAATGACCATTTCAGTAATTAACACATCGTCTAAAATTATATAGTTGACCAGATATAAATGTGATAAGTCGAATTTCGCGGAGACGAAATATTTTTACCGACGAGAATGCCATGATCATTTATTTGTTAGAACCTCAGAAGTTTCCAACCTTTTCATACTCGCGTAATATCAAATTTAACCTCGATCAATGCTTTTCACATTTTCCTCATGCTGTAGAGAGTGTTTATAAAAAAAAAGCTTAGTCGAGAAGTATCTTCCAAGTTTGCGCCTGTTTCGAGAACAAGCGTATAACTTCGAGTTTGCAGTTGAAACAAGAGGTTTGTGCAATATTCTTTTTGTTAAAAGCTATAGTTGTGTGCCGAAGTCCAAAGTAATACGGAAGTTGATCTCGAACTTTTTAATTGTACAAACGTTTCATCGAGTTTATGAGATCAATTTTGGATTTATTGTTTAGTTAAACAATAAAACATAAAAATTTCAATTTATCTTATAGGATTATAAGGAAAGATTCGTGTTTATTGCAATTATCTGTATTGTAATTATCTATTAATTAATGAGAGAACATTTTAAGACTTGTATAATACAAAATATATATTTATATAGTATTGTATATTGAAGAAACTCCTGCCCCCCCTCTCTCTCTCTCTTTCTGGATATATTAAATCAAGATATTAATATCTACGCTCAGTATCTGCCCGGATTTCTGAGCTGATGCATAACAGGATATGCCGGTGAACTACCAAAGTTTAATTGCGTTTGCCTCCAGTAATGAGGGAAACTACTTATTTGTAAACTACTCATTTATAAACTACTTATTAGAATATGCTAATTAGTGATTCAGCATTCACAAACTTTGATATTCCAGCGTTTTGTTCGTAATTGCATCGCCGATATTCTCGGAGAGAATTTTTATTATGAATGCAAATCTTTATTATGAACGCGCGCGTATAATCTAATAGTAATCTCCCTGTTTACGAGATCCTAGAAGATTAGATGATTATATTGACGATGTTCTTGATATTACCAATATTGTCTGAAAAAAAACTATATTTACAATAATAAATAAATAAAATATAATCAATATAAATATTTAAAAAATATAAATAATGAAATAAAATCGAAAAAATAAAGGTAAAAGCGATTCAATAATAAAATATTCCTTTTAAAATTTTATCGATATATTTTCTTTCATAATAAAATAAAATACATCAAAATATTTCTTCTCTCGATTTATGGATATATATAATTGAAATCTGCATATGTTTTGCAAATATTTTGCGATATTAATTCTTGCGAATATAAGTTTAATTTAAAGTTGCTTTTCCTCGTAAATCAGCCGTAAGTGCGATAAAATAAATGTTGTTAAATTGCGCGGGCAAAGTAACTAAATCGAATAACGAATGCAATATTTGAATGCAAAAGCTTACCAACAAGTATATGCGACGCGCAATTTTCTAGATTATACATATATATATATATATATATATATATATCAAAGCAACATGTAACAGCAAGCGCATACTGTGTACATTATATTTTCTCAGCATGGAATATAAGTGTTATTCCAGTTCTAATTCAGGAATTATTCTAATTTTCGAAAAACAAGGAAAAGTATATGTTTCATTTTTTCTATCTTAATCTTTTGTTGTATATAAAATTATTATATTATTATTACGTATTATATTATCGTCCCATAATAACAGTACTAATAAAATAATCTGATGAAAATAGTTTAATACGGTGAACGTGAAATAATTATCACGGCTTATAGCAATAAAATGTTAAAATTCTTTTTAACTCATTTTAATTCTTCTAAATTCTTATAAAATTTTTCATCAAGCCGCGATGAAAAATCTAGGTCGGAAGGTCAGAGTTCAAACCTGTTCAATTGTACTACGGCGAATTCAAAATGGAAGTAACAATAAAATAATCGTATGTCGGGAAGACATTAAATTCATGCGGTTTAGCAGGCCGAAAAGGTAGCATGAAGTAAACTTGGATAACGGCCAAGACATAAAACTACAGTGCATCGTACTCGCGGTCGAGAAGGTCGAAGTTGAATAAACATCGGTGACATGATTTCAAACAGAGAAGGAAGAAATCGCAAGAAATGACAATTTGACAAAAAGCAAGCAACGCAATAAATGATGGAATCTAATAAATAAAAATTATTATTAATTTTTATAAGAGTTACTTAGGGATTACTCGTGTCCAGATATAATTTCATCTAATTTGTAAATCTTATTTTTCAATTAAAGGACTCGAATGTTAAAACAATATTGTAGTATATAAAAGTATAGTATATAAGTGGCCTAGGATAATATTGATAATATTTTATGTGACAATCGATAAGTTCAAATTATTGCAACACATCATTGTTTTTTTTCTCAAAATCGATATTTGAAAATTGCTTTTGTTTGTTTGTTTGTTTGTGCAGCTTAATGCTTCGTTGCCTATCATTTCGCACGAGGTTATAAGAGATAATTCAATATTAACTTTGGAGCAAAAGATTCAATATTAGGAAAACTAATATTAGGAATAGAAAAGATATTTATATTTAATCTGTCTAATGTTATTTGTACTAAATTATTTACTTAACATTATTTATATCTATAATTTATTAAATTTTACTCTTTAATATATTAATTGAACCATCAGTTCTGAAATAAAAACCAATATTATATGAAGTCCTTCCTGAATTAAATTCTGGATTATAAAATAGAAAATATTAATAAAACGAAAAACGTTATTTAATGTAAAATACGATAAATATTATATTTCACAACATTAAATAAAATAATTATACAATTGTTATTTATTATATAATAATTCAATATTTGTCTTATTTATGTTTTAGGAGCAAAGTTGCGGCCGCTTTGCTAAATAAGCATCTACAGATTAACGGGATTTCAGCTGGTCTGACATCTCTGCCGACCGTGGAGCAATCATCACCCGAACCGCAGCCGGAAGAGCCGCAGATAACTAGTAGCAGCAAGATGAAAAGAGAGCGGAAGGCAGCTAGGACGCTTGGGATCATCATGTCGGCGTTTCTGGCTTGCTGGCTGCCTTTTTTTCTTTGGTAACGTATATTCAGTATTATTTTTTTAAGTTTATTCGAGAAAATATCCATTATTCTATTAAGATGCAAGTGTAATATCAGCCTCATTTTTATTTCCTCTTTCTCTCTCTTTCTCTCTCTTTCTCCGTCTCTCCCCCCTTGCCCTCTCTTTCTGTTTTATTATTATTATTTTACTTTTTCTTTATTTTTATTTTCTCTAAAATTATAACGTTGTTTTTGATTTTATTATTATTAAATATAAAAAAAGATGAAAATTGTGTGAGAGAAGTTCTGATTATAAAGAGAAGATTGCCTTTAAAAAAAAATAATTTTTAACAGTTGTTGTGACGTTGCATTGTCTTCTTAGAAAATTCTTAAAGAGGCTTTTAAGAGGCACGCACACTTATTGGAACTTGTTTAGTTAAAATCGATTTATAAAAGATTAAGAAAAATCACAAAATTGCATTAAAAAAACTCTACTCAGTAATTAGAAAAATAAGTTATTGCTTCGTAAAGAATTAAATAGAAAAGTATAATAATTTCTTTTGGTATTTATTAAAGTTTGAATTGCAGTTTCATAATTTGGTCAATCATAAAACAAGATATAGTACGTGCGACGAAAATGCTACTTTTCTTATCAGTGTGTATGACACACACAGGATACACGTTGTGCACAATCTGTCACGGTAATTAACGTTATTTTCTCCTGCTAAATAGCGTATGGTATGTTCGCTTCGTGTTTGCTTCGTTAATTACATGGGTGGAACGTACGTGAGGTGAATTGTTGGCGTGACGTTGCGTTATCTTTGAGAGGATTCTTAAACGCTTTTAAGAGACACGCAGACCTATTGGGACTTGTATAATCCTCTCACTTTTTTAAAACCTTTCAATTATGTTTATTACATTAAATTAATTATTGTGCTGCAATTTAAAGAAAGAAAACGACATTACCCATTTCGTTTTATTATACACGAGTTTACATCGACTTTACATGCCTTTTTTAGATATATGATATTATTTTTTAACGCTGCTTGCATTTGTTGTTAAGAAAAAAAAAGTAACACACACTCATGTTCTGTTTTACTTCAAATCCGATGAAAAGTTCGTCGAGAGAAATATTTCGTTCAATGAAGCATCTTAGAGAATGGTACGTTTTCAGCAAGAGAATAGTTTTGAAACGCGATAATTAATTTTGAGAGCGTAAATAGAACTACGGGAGATGTAGAGCGCGTAGGATGCATCTTCATTTCGCCTACTCGTTTTTGTGCAAACAATTCGAAGTAGAAAAAGCAAAAAAAAAAGAGAAGAAAATATTGTATGCACCAACTGCAACGTTCGTTAATTGTTTACTATAGAGCAATGAGTCAATAACATTTTTGAATGAGAAATATTGTTGTCGAATCAGATATATAAACTGCAGGAAGGTATCGACACATTGATAAAAGTAGAGCAATTCTAGCTAGATAGATCAAAATAAAAATAAGAATTTTACATAATTATATATTGGCGCATATAATAAAAATTTGAAATTAAGCGTAATCATCGCAATAATATTATGCCATCGCGAATTATCAGTAATTCCAATTAATTTTTTTTTTGGAAGAATGATCGCGGTTTTGTAAAATTATTGTAATTTTATAAAATTATATGTGATTTTATGAAATTGTAGATGATTGTATAAAAAGACATTCGAAAATTGCTTGCATTCATCAAAGTTCTATAGAATCGTCAGAGAGATTTGATATGAGCAGAGAAAATTAAGTATTCTTTCATCGTAGTAAATATATTACATGTTACGGATACACGAATATTATGGAAATTTTAATAATTAGGTAATTGTGTATAATAATATTAAAAAGCAATTTATTCGTAATTTCTGACATAAAGATTATCTCCATAAGATACTCATAAATTTCCGTGTGCACAAAGAATTGAAATCATAAAATCGAACACATATACTGATGGTAGATTTAACACGATTACACGATAGATTTAACACATACATACGCCTTTCAAACGTATTTTC